GAAACAGTTGACCATTCAAGATCAAAAGGGCTACATTTACCTAAGGACAAGGTTGGGAAGCGATGGGAAGGAAGGTGAAGTGGAAATAAGAACCACAGAGAGGAAGTGGGAAACTGTTGTTACCTGGAGGGGATTGCAATCATTGAGATGAAATGAACTGTATGATTTGTTGATTGTAAAACTGAACGTCTCTGTAAACCTTCACTCAATTAGCAATAAAAAAGTGTTTTTTTTAAATATGATGGAATAATATATATATATGTATATAGGTAAGTGCTAAGATTAGTGCTGATGATCTAGAGTGGTGGTGAGGGATAGGGAGGTTGAGGAATTTGCTAGCAGCATTCCAAGTTCTGGGGACTCCTCTTTTCTGCTGCCAATAGTTATGTGAAGACTAGAGAATGGGTTTTCTCAGCAAGAAAGCTCTAAGTGAGAATTCTAGGAAGATAGTGGTGTAAACAAAGTACTGTTCTGATCCTCCCCCATGAATACAAGTAGTGGTGGTGGTTCTGTGCTGTGGACTCCCTTCGGACTCATAGTGATCCTGCATAGGGTTTCTGTAAATCTTTACAGTAACAGAAAACCTCATCTTCTCCCATGGAACAGAAGATAGTTTTGAACTGCTGACCTTGAGGTTAGCAGCCGGACTTGTAATCACTACAATACCAGAGCTCCAAGTATGCTACCTAATTGATACGTACATCTGGAACTCATGAGAGAGATTAGAGCCGGTGATAGATATTTGGGAAATAGAGATATTGCTAAAAATCTTATAACTGGTTGAGATCAGCTAAACAGTAAATGTAGATGATAAAAATGAGGACCAGGTATTCAACTTGGTGTCTTTTAACATTCAGAGGGCAGAAGGAGGTCATCTTGTTATAAAATATTTTATTTTTATGTTATTTTATAATTAATGTTGTTCATGATGTTTGTCATTCGATTCAATATATTTTTTGTTGAGTTCCTACTAAACTAACATGTTCATCAAGTTTAAGAAGTAATATCTCATCCCATATTCCCATTTGTAAAATGAAGAATCCCACTGTGTATCCACTGGCCTGCTATTGGGAAATTCTGTCATTCTGTCTACTAAGCAAAAAGTTGGATATTTGAGTCACCCAGAGATGCCTCTGAAGAAAAAAGCCTGGTGATTTGCTTCCTCCAAATCAGCTGCTGAAATCCTTCTAGAGTATAATTCTACTTTGAGACACCTGGTGTTAGTTACCATGATAGATTAGTTACCATGAGTTGAATTAACTCCATGGCAACTAAAATGAAAAGAAATTATTTTCATCAGGAATGGGTTTGCCATTAAGCTGCTTCTAAAGCAATTCCTCCAACATAGTAATTTTTACCTGCATCTGTCTCTCAATTGATGTAAACTTAGATTAGGAACCAAACCTGAATACCAGTGTTCATTTCAGCACCCTTCACAACACCCAAACGGTGTAAACAATTGAAATGCTCATCACCAGATGAATGGATAAACAAAATGTGCTCTATACAGACAATGGAATTATTATTATTTGTGGCTGTTGAGAATACACATAGCAAAACATACACCAATTCAACTGTTTCTATATGTACAATTCGGAGACATGATTACATTCTTCAAGTTGTACAACCATTCTCATCCCCTTTTCTGAGTTGTTCCTCTCCCATTAACATAAACTCACTGCCACCTTGCCCTCTACATTTGATTGTTCCTCAGGACTTTTTGTTTTGATGTTTTTCAACCGAATCATTTCTACTGTACCTCAATTTTATACATGATGTTTTTTCAGGGTAATTAAAATTGGTGAGAAGGAAGATATGTGGAGTTTTTGTGTTCTCTTAGAATGATCTACATAATCCTTCTCAAAATGTGGTTCTTAGGACATTAGCATTAGGAAGTGAGACTCTCTGGTCTCCAGTACATCTTACATCGACTAACCTAGTTCAGTGGCACTTAGTACTTCAGACATCTCACCTTTAAATTATCCCAGAGCAACAGCTGCAAGCCTCTTCCAACCCCAGAAATTTACTTATAAATCCCTTCCCGATAGACTGAATGAGATTCCTCCCATACCATCTTACTTTTTGTTGGAAAGTGCTTTTTTTCGGTGTGAACAAGGAGACTCAGTTTGATCCAGGAGCTCCTTCCGCTTTCAGGAATGGATGATTCCTTGGTCTTGGTATGATCAGGTAATTTATGAACACCATTGAAATGCCTCTTTTGAGCTCTCAGTAAACTGACTTGATTGCTTCTTTCCACCAAGCAATTAGATTCACGCCTTTCATTTATCTCCTCCAGGAGTTGTTGCTTGCTTGCTTTGAGTTTTTGAATTATTTCACTGGCTCTGTTTATACATGCCATTATACTAGAAAAACAATCAGCAAGTGATTCTTGATGGCCTGCAAGCAGAAAACGAAACACTGTCAGTTCTTTGCTTGGCTTAGAAAGGTATTTACTATCAGGTACTTACTTACCAGTGCCACTTTCTGCTGCAAAATAATATCAAGACCACTACCTCCACACTTCTGTCCTTGACCTCCCTTCGCTCTTTAGTATTGTTTCTTAAGGTCTTTTTGTTTTGTGCTTTTTTCCCCCCACCCCATTTTGGGGAGGGGGAACAGGGAGAGACATGCACAAAAAGGGCATTAAAAAAAAGTCCTAAT